AAATGACTCGCACATGCTTTGAGTTACTGTAGCTGCCTAGCTCCGCCGGCCAATGCCCTGCAGTAACCCGGGCTCAGCCCTGCCTCCCAGCAGATGTTTCCTGGAATGGAAAGTTGTTGGACACAGTGTGTGTTGGGGGAGGCGCGCGGGGCGCTGGAGTAAGAAGAGACCGGTCTAAAGAATACAGCACAGATGACCGCACTGAAACCCTCATTCCTCGGACAGGGCGGGCAGCCAGGCAGCTCTGTGCATTTGTGTGCCCGCGGCCTCGCCGCAGCCCCTGCTCGGCACCGGGACAGGCACCGGAGCACCCAGGAGCGCCGGCCCAACGGGCTCCTCGCGGATTCGCTGCCCCGCCGCGCAGAGCGCACGCAGGGTACGCGGAGGTGGGGACAGTAAACATTAACTCTAGGGCAAACACGCAGAGACAGCGCAGGGTGGCACTGGCGAGGGTGGGGAGCGGGGGCCGGGGTAAGGGTGGCTCTGCCACGCAAGGGCTCCCTGGGGCCGGGCAGCACGCGAGGAGCCCCGAGGAAGGCAGCATCCTGCGCAGCTCGTGCCACCGAGAACGGCGGGGAGGCGGGAGGGAGGAGCAGTTATTCCTGCAAACTGCAGTGCTGCAAGTCACAGGGGACACGGGGACCGCGCCGAGGTGACCGCATTCCCCAAGGTCTCCCCCCGCTTCTCCCTGCCACCCGCCTGGTGACGCGCGCTCTTGCGCCAGCAGGACACAAGCCCAAAGCAGACGCCCTTACGCTCAAACCCGTGTCCTCCCTGAAGCTCACGGGGCTCTGTGCTCTTCCTCTGGAGAGCAAAGAAGAAAACGCACCAGGACAAGAAGAAAAGGTCTCTTGCCAAATCCCATCACAGCCTTGGTTCACGCCCTTTCTCCCACTTGTCACTCTGCTAGGGACAGCAAGCCCCAAGTGCGTTGGTAGCACCAAAAGGAGAACACACAAGGAGACAGAAGACGTTGCAAACATCTTGAGGAAAAAGTAGAGAAAAAGGAATCCTGGAGAGAAAAAGGGAAAGGTTCCAACCAGCAAAGACGGATGCAGGGCTGCAAGGACAGAAAGACCAGTTAAAAGCAGCAGACTGCTGTGACCATGTGGGAACGCTGGCCCCTGAGCAGCGGTGCTCCGGGCAGTTTTGGGGAGCCGTGTTCTCCGGGCAAGGACTGCCTTTCCGGCTAGTGTTGGTACAGCATGTGGCACCTGGGCTTGCCAGAGCGACACCAAGAACAAGGTGGGGCATTTGCTCTGAGCATGCATTTCATGGAAAACGAGTGGGGGAAGCTGAAGTGCAAGGTTTCGTGGAGGGACAGCCCCGACACAATCATTTCTGGAGCTGCTCTCAGTGCAGAAAGCACTGGGGTAACCCGAATGGTCCATGTGCCAGGAAGATCCTGCCTGGAAGCGTTGGCAAAGAGGGAGGCTGCATCAAGCAGAGGTGCTGGGGCACCTTTGGCAATGCCAGTAGTGCCCGGCAGGACCGACTGCCCTCCCGGAGCTGTGACCCATCCCTATTCGCACAGCGCTGCTTTTATCTGGCCAGAAGGCCTCTAGAAACTAGGACACAGTTTTTGGTTTGGTTTTTAGGGAAAATAACTCGGGTTTTAAGGAAAATAACTGGGGTGGGGAAAACCACAAAGAACGCAGCCAGTGCTTACTCTCCGGATGTACTGTCTCTCATGCTGAAAATACATGGAGGAAAAACAAGAGAACACAGAGATAAGATAGAGAGGACATGAACACACAGGAGACCCACAGAAGCAGAGCACAGCCAAGCATCATGCAGCAGGGGATGGATCTCAGTCAGGAGCAGCTCTTGAGTAAAACGACCTCTAGCTGCAGCCATGGACTTCACATTTTCGCTGTTCCCTGTCCACGTGCCCATTCGGGCAGCTGGATCTGCCCAACCTGCCTGTCTCAACAGCTCCCCAGCGCCGCCTCCCTGCCAGCCTGCCCTGCTGTGCTCCGTGCTGCCATTCCGACTGCCCCAGCCCACGCTCCGGACTCCCAGCCGCCTTCTCCAAACTGGCTCTTCCACAGCCCCGTGAGGGGGTTTGCGCTGGGGCCTCGGCAAGGAGGAGGGCTCTGCTGCGGCCAGGGCTCGCTGGCAGCCGGGGGCCCAGCGCGCGGCCCCTCGCGCCTGCAGGGCAGAAAGGAGACCCATGCAGGAGCACGAGGTGCTCTGTGTTCCTGGGAGGCCGACAGAGCAGAATTCCTCTCTCCCCCAAACCGCCCTGAGAGATGCAAAGGGTTTGCACAGTGGCGGCTCTGGCACCACAGCGAGACACAAACTCTGCTGGGACCCTGGGCAGGCTAGGATTGGAGATCACCAGAAGTGTGACAGAAAAGGCAGAGCTTTAGCTCCCTCTCTCTGGCATCCTTCCCATTCGGATGGTAGTCCTCCTTTGCCACTTCTGCACCATTTTCAACGCCTCTTTTGGGAAATGGCCAGCATAGCCAGTGCCAGTGCAAAGCCCCTTTGCACCTTCCCCCTCCCGAGCACCCAACCCGTATTCGCCAAGGGACAAGAGAAACGGGAGTACTTACATTATACCAACTCTGGCTTTTCTGTAAGGACAAAATAAGAGAGAAGCATTAGTTAGCACAGAGATCTTAGGATCAACAAGAAAGACGGACAGAGAAACTAAGTCCAGTTAGTCAGTTGAAAGGGAGATTAAACAGAAGATTTCAGCAGGGTGCAGAGCGGAGTCTAACACGGTTATTTCCCGTTACAGGAGCAGAGAGGAGATCCAACAGCGCGAGTCGCCTATAGGAAGCACTCGAGGCCACCCGTGCGCGTCCCCACGCAGGCACGCGAGCTCCCCCAGGAGCCGTCTCCCCGCACACCCGCTGGCTGCCCCGCACAAAGCACACCGTGGGCCAAGGCCCTCGTCCAAATGAACAGGGCTGCAGGGATCCGCGAGGAGGCAGGACAGGATTTTCCGAGCAGCGCCCCGAGCAGCGAGCCCGCAGCGCTGGGGCATCGGCAAGGGCTCGGCACCGCCGCTCCCTGCAAGCAGGCGCAGGAAAAGGCCTTACGCAACCCAGCCTACACTGAGCAAAATCAGGGGAATTAAGCTTAATCCAGGGATGCACCACCTTGTGCTCAGGAGCACCGGCTCTAAGACAGAGTGATTTTCCTGCAGATTTGCTTTGCCATCTGTCTGCCTGAATGAGCAAAAGGCATTACTCAGAAATTCCTGGGGAAAAAATCCAGAATCAGCTAGAAGTGGCAGAGAGGACACAGCACCAGTGCTGTCGCTGGGGCTCCTACCGCAGGTTGCACGTGTGGTGGTGCCCGTTGCTGCTCCCCTCTGCTGCATCAGTTACAGGATCTTGCAGCTGATTAGCCCAAACTTGGCTCTTCCAGGGCATCTTCTCCCTTTTCCCCACAACTCTCCTGAGAGCCTCCCTAGTTTGGGTACACACTCCTGCTCTTTGACCAATGAATGTTTCCTTTGCCCTTCTCCATCTGACTTTTTCCTGACACCTTCTTATGGATTTGGTTGTTTCTTTGTTTTAACTGACTCCCAGCTGGTGTCTACGGGGATGGGAACAGTGATAAATCGAGAGAGTACAATGAGGGGGAAGAAAGGAAAAGGAAAAACATGTTCTTACTTTGAGCAGGTTAAGTCTGTCATACTGGAAAAAGAAACCATAAGCATTAGAACTGAAAAGAGAAAAGTACGTGAGTAACAGAGGAAGGGAGTTGCACAGAGGAGTGGAAAAGCTGTCACTGATCTGCAAAGACGATGCTACGGGGGCAGGAAACAGAATTCGTAGTTACCCGGTGGCTGCAACTGGGAAAACCTTCTCTCAGGACACCCTGCGCGCTGGGCTGTGCCAGAGCCTTCCGCTAGCTCCGCTCTGTGTGCCCTGCTCTGCCTTCCAGCCCGCACGGAAGCAGCGGGGCGCCCTGCACGTGGAATGCAGCCGGCTGCCCACCTTCGCGTGCCCGGGGAAGGCCATGCTTCCAGCGGCATGGATACCCCGTGCCCAGGGAAGCAAACGGGCTGTGCTCCCAATCCGAGTACCTCTAGGATCTACGTGATTCATCTGGCTGCTGAACTGCCCTGGCCAAGGAAATAAAGTCATGGCAATGGATCTAAAGTAACTAGAATTTCACAATCTACTTAAGGAATGATTCTATCACACACAACAGGAAGGGCAGAAGAAAGGACAGGGCCGAACTCTTTAACTGCACGGCAAAAGGAGGAGATGCAGCAGCCCAGCCCTGCAGAAAGGGAAATTCTCTTTGGACAGAAGGAAAGCTCTGGAGCAGGGGACGGCGA